TGGTCCTAAGTTGGGAGCAGGGACAAAAATTAGGGAAACTGACCATTCAAAACCTGCCTCATTTGGGCCAATTGCTACAGAGCTTGTAGTCTGGCTTCCTGAGCTGGTTGCTGTAGGTTGTGAGTTAGAGTTCTGTGTTTATATATAGTCTCACCATTGTCCCTTTGTATATTCAGTCTTTCATGTGGAAACATGCTCAGCTTTTTAAAAGTTATTGTCTTCTCAATTGCCCTACCTTCTTGGCTACCACTGTGCACCTCTTTCATATGCTCAAAAGTTGCTTTCTGAGGCATTACGTTTGGATTGGTTTCTCAGCTAATCCCTTGTCCTTTTGTATTAAATCTTTATTACAAAACGAAAACAAAAACAAAGAAAACACTTTTATACCAAAAGAAGTTAAAACCATACAAAAGGGTATAAAATAAAAGGACAATTCCTCTTCTTCCCTGCCAGCCCCTCAGTTCCATTCCTCAGAATTAACCACTGTTAATTGTTCCTTATACATCCCTTCCGTAATGGTCTCTGCGTGTGTAAACCTATAAGTTACATTCCTATAGTTGCACACTTACCTCTTTTTTTAAAGAATTTTACCCAAATGGAATTATACTCTAGAACTCTTTTTCTTCAAGCAGATTTTTGGGGTCATCTTTGGAAATCTTTACATTAGTGCAAGTCAGTCTAACTTGTTCTTAAATTTTAAAATTTTGATAGATGTTCCTGAATTGCTCATATAAAAAGAATGCCCCAATTTATCCCCTCATCAGGTGTTGGAGAGTGCTTTGTTCTTCATACTTTCATTGACGCTAGATATTTTTCCTGATTTTAACAAAGATGGTAGGTACTTTAACTTGAATTTATTTTACTGTCAGTGAGATGAAGAATATTTTCATATGATTTATTTGTCATCTGTATACCTTGTTTTTATGTCCATTTTCCTATTGGATCAAGTTATTATTCATTTGTAAGAACTTCTGCATTAAAGAAATCAGCCCTTTATTCTATCATGTGTCCTTTCACTTTTTAATTAAATCCTCCTGTTAGGTAGCAGAGTTGCATGGAATATAATTGGAAGAAGTTGGTGTGTCTGGTATTTCTTTCTGAATTGATGCACTTGGTTATCTTAGAGGAGTTAATGAAAGCTTTTGGGTTAGAAGCCCTGAGTGTCCTCTAATGATGAGAAGAAAGAAACAGGAAGCAAGACAGGGTTGTTAATCAGTCACGGAAAGAACTGTCTTCTCAGGCTGTCTGCTAAGTGCAGTTTTTTTTTCTTCTGGAAACAGTATTTGATGGTTGTCATCCAATCCTGGCATTAATTGTTGTAGCTCAGAAACCTGTGTGATAGGAACATGTGAGCAAGGTGTGGGTCTAGGGATAAAGTGGCCCTCTTTGGGGGCACAGCTCATATCTAAACACCACATCCAGAAATACTGTAGCTTCCTGATTGCCCCAGACATATTTGAAGGGAAAGAGGGGCTGAGGATAGGGTAGTCTACAGAGTTGAGAATGCAGAGGGGGAGGTAGGAAGTAGAAAACATGCTGTTTAATTTGGTCTGTCTCTTTGTGGGTCTCACTCCTTACCAGAAGGACAGGGAGTGACTGCTGCTGCTATCGTTGCCATCACTAATGTGACCCCAGGCCTTCCTTGTATTCTACCCACTCATTCTGAAGTTAGTAAGGAGGGACTTTTTTTTTTCCCAGCAGGATAGTTTGTTTGTGACTTTGAGTTTGTGAGTAGACCTGACTGGAAACAGAGCAAGAGGAGTTTCAGATTTCCAGGCTCCTCTTTATCTCTGTACTCCGCTGAATGATAACCAATGTCAGAAGAAGAAGAAGAATGCTCACTTTTTCACTCTGATGCACATCTCCCCATGCCTTCCTCTTCCAAGAACCACCGTTTACCTATCCAGTAATTTACAGCAATGTCAAGCTGGTAATCCCTTTGGAAAATAGTAATTCAACAGAATAGAGTACAGAGCAGCTCTTCCATCCTCCCTGCTGAGGATGACCTTAACTCGATATCTTTGACCTTGCTGACTGCCTCCTGGACATCCAAGGGCTCAACTCTCTACATCCTGCATCTCTTGTCTCTTTGTCCTGGCTGAGGGTGGAGGCTCTAGAGGCTGAGTCATAGCAGCACAGCAATTTAGCCAATCCCAGAAGATTTGATTCCTCTTTTATGAAACATCATAGAAAAGGAAATCCTTAGTTTGAGTCCCAGATCTTTGAAGGCAAGGGATACTCTATATTTTTACTCATAATAGGCATTCCATCCAGTGTGTAGGTGGATCATTTGGGACATGAAGGATTCCCTCTCAAGAGGGATTGCACTCTGATGTTGAGAACTCAAGATGTGTCCTAACCATTTGTTCTCCGTGACTGTGACCATTGGAGTGATCATTCTGGAGAAACCATGATTAACTCTAGAGGAGCCTACTGAGAAAGAATTCCCTTCTTCCTTGCACCAACGAGAAGTCTGCACACAAGATTTTCCAAAGACTGTCATGTTGACATGTAAAACCAACAGACTTGATGAGCCAATATTTACTTTAAAAATAATAAAAATAATTACCATAGGGAAGAAAAAGCACAGCTAGATTCTTCAATACTTGATTGGTTCGTTCACACAATAGATATTTATTTAGCCGTCACTACATGGTAAACCCTATGCTAGGAGTTGGGAATGTATCTGGGATAATAATAAAAGTAACTATAACTAACAAGCATTGAGCTCTTACTGCCTGTTAGGCATTGTTCTAAATGCTTTACGTGGATTATCTCAAGTAATTCTCAACTTTGGAATTAGGTGCTTTTATAATTTCTGTATGTGGAAGATAAGGGAAGTAAGATTTAGAGAAGTTAATAACTTGCCCAGGAGCATACTGCTAATAAGACTAAAGCTGGGATACAAATCCAATTTAATTCCTACTTTTTAATTGTTTACTGTTGTTTCTACCTGAGGCAGAAACAAATCCCTGCCCTCCTGGAGCTTCTAGTCTAAATTAGAGAACATTTTTCTTCCGATAGACTTTAATCAGTCTCTGGAGAGATGTGGAGTGTCCTCCTGAGAAGGCTTTGCACCTTTCAACATGATTTAGACTGTTCACACGTACTCAGTTGATGGAAATTGCTTAATCACGTGGACTCCCTTTATTTTTTCTCATCATATTCATTTCTCTCATCTCCTGTGTCCTGCTCATGTCCTTCTAGCAACTTTTGCCTTGTCCTTCTACCGCCCTCCCCTCTGAGTGTCCTCCCCTCCATACCTGTTTATTTTTTCCCTCTCCCATCTAGACAGTTACTAGACTTCCCAAATGCCATTCAATGCAGTTTTGAAGGAAAATGTAGAAGGGAGGGAAACTTTCACTGCAAATGAAAAGAGCTATTGATGGATGGCTTGGTAAGCCTAGAGAATCTTCTTTAGCATTCTCTGGCATTTAAGGGACTCCGGATTCCAAAAGCACATCCATTCCATTCTTCTGTTGCTAATCTCATTTTTCCTATGATTAACAACCCAGTTCATTATGTTTTCAGCTCACATTAATCTTCTCTTCTGTGAGTTTGGTAACATTTGGAGTCATTTCCCTCTGTATTTATCCATCTGGGATCCTAGGAAAAGATAAGTTTGCAGAGACTCATTTGTTGCTCATTCAGAAAGTCGTTTGTTGCTCACTGCTGCACAAGGAATAAATGTTCTCCTTGTTTCTCAGATGCTGAGAGAGAATTCTCTGAAGTCAGGTATGGATTCCTTCCACAATGCAGAGAGCCCCCTCAATGGAGCTCCGTGGGGTTCTCAGTTTAGGATTGAGCCACAACATAACAGCATCAGAAATCACAACAAGCAATGTTTCCTGGATCCTGACTCCTCATAGAGCAGATGGAATTGGGAGAGATGTGGGGGTAGTGGAAAGAGTTGCAAGATTAATGAGTCAGAACAGTCTTTGGCTTGAGTCCTGTCTCTACTACCTACAAGCTATCTGACCTTAAGCAAGTCACATAATCTCTCCAAGATCCACTTGCCTCCTCTGAGAACTGGTCCCAGAGATCCCTGTCCTCTTTATACAAGAGTAGTTTTGAGGGTTAACTTATATTCTCATCTCTGTTTTTGAGTAAGCTCATAACTTTGCTCATATGACTTAATTTTTGCAATTTCTGAGCCCCCTTCCAACACAAATAATGTATATATGATTGGAAAGAAAAAAATAGGCTATTGGGGAAGTCTTAGAGGCTAGTATCTCTTAATTCTCATCTTATGTTTTAAAAGGGCTTAAAAGTTTGCGTCATATTTGAAGAGCTATTGGGGATGGGATATGTTGTTTAGAAAACAGATAATGTTTTGGAAACTCAGTTAAGGGCATCCTCCCAGGTATAATGTAATCTTGGGAGGTCACAAAGTAGGCAACTCTTCCAGAGATTCTCGGCTGTCGGTCCCTAGCAACATTTCGTTGTGAAGGTTGGAATGCATTTGCTCATTTATTAATTCAAGTATGATGTTTCTTTAGAGAAAATATTCCAAATTGGACATCCATTCAAAAGCCCTGACAGATATTGCTGTCTATGGTCATTAACCATGAAATATCAGTATTATTTCTCATTGTTGCCCAAGCGCAGGGCTAAATTACATTAATGCATCTGTTATTTTAGGAAGGGGAAAGGGGAAAAGTGTACTTACATTTTCTTGCTGTAGAATTTAGAAGGGGTTCAGGATGTGGAGAGGACCGGTAGAGATGAGAGAAATCTAGACTTTTGCTCTAATTCTACGCAACTGAAACAAGGCAACATAATTCGGAAATGTTTTCATTTATTGACAGTCTTCTCCCCCGGCGCTTGCGATTTGCGCAGGAGACTCCCATCATGCAGATAACTCCCACTGGTGTTTATGGAAATTACCTGCATAACCAATCCTCCTGCCCACATAGAATGCCAGAAGCCTGAGAGCACTTTTAATTGCAATGTACCTCCCTTTGCAAAGATCTAATTGCATCTGTTTCCCTTTCCTTTAGGTACCCAAGCAAGAACAGGAATAATGAAGAGTCACATGTGTTAGTTGCAGCCTTTTGAACCAAGCAAGAAGGAAATCAACGGTGTGGACAGGGCTGGAACCGTTGCCACGCTTGCTTGTTGGAGTAAATGAGGAATGGGCTTGTGATTATGCTGACATTCCAGCATGAATCTGGTAGACCTGTGGTTAACCCGTTCCCTCTCCATGTGTCTCCTCCTACAAAGTTTTGTTCTTATGATACTGTGCTTTCATTCTGCCAGTATGTGTCCCAAGGGCTGTCTTTGTTCTTCCTCTGGGGGTTTAAATGTCACCTGTAGCAATGCAAATCTCAAGGAAATACCTAGAGATCTTCCTCCTGAGACAGTCTTATTGTATCTGGACTCCAATCAGATCACATCTATCCCCAATGAGATTTTTAAGGACCTCCATCAGCTGAGAGTTCTCAACTTGTCCAAAAATGGCATTGAGTTTATCGATGAGCATGCCTTCAAAGGAGTAGCTGAAACTTTGCAGACTCTGGACTTGTCTGACAACCGGATTCAAAGTGTGCACAAAAATGCCTTCAATAACCTGAAGGCGCGGGCCAGAATCGCCAACAACCCCTGGCACTGCGACTGCACTCTGCAGCAAGTTCTCAGGAGCATGGCTTCCAATCATGAGACAGCCCACAACGTGATCTGTAAGACTTCTGTGTTGGATGAACATGCCGGGAGACCATTCCTCAATGCTGCCAATGATGCTGACCTTTGTAACCTCCCGAAAAAAACTACCGATTATGCCATGCTGGTCACCATGTTTGGCTGGTTCACCATGGTGATCTCATATGTGGTGTATTACGTGAGGCAAAATCAGGAGGATGCGCGGAGACACCTTGAATACTTGAAATCCCTGCCAAGCAGGCAAAAGAAAGCCGATGAACCCGACGACATTAGCACTGTGGTATAGTGTCCAAACTGACTGGCATTGAGAAAGAAACTCGTTTGCGACTGCAGTAGAATAAGAGGTTTACTTCTCCCGTCCATTGTCAACATTTAAAACTTTGTATCTCAGTTTCTTTTGAATTTGCCACTGTTGAACTTTTAACAAACATGACAACATAACAAATAATTTTAGTTTAGGTGACCCACCCCTGAATTGTACTCCCGGTGGTATATTCCTGAGTAAGATACTCTCTGAACATTAGTTAGATCCATCTCACTATTTAATAATGAAATTTATTTTTTTAATTTAAAACCAAATAAAAGCTTAACTTTGAACCATGGAAAACAGAGTGACTTATTGGTTAAGAAAACAGTACAGTTATTCCATTACTTTAAAGAGAAACAGACAACCCTTGTGAGCCTAAAGAGCTATCATCGTGAAAGATGTGTTAAGCCTTACTGTACATTGGGGAGTCATAGGTGAATTATTGATTAACTAAGGATCTCTCAGACTTGAAAATACTGAGCCTTAGCAAACCCGGGTGATATCACACAGTGTGGCATCCTGCAGAGGCTTAAGTTGGGACGCCTCTAGCTGTTTGCTATCTACACATCAGTGTGCTTAGCTATGAAAAGCCTTTCTAATTCTAAACACACTACTTCTACTCTATGCTAGACACATGGAAAATAAAAAGACAGCACAAATTATGTCCTCAAGATTACCTTCTGCTGGACAGGGGTGTGTAACAAACATAGAAATAGGTATGCTAAAAAGAAAGGTCTGAATAGTCATATAGCATCAACTGTGTGCAAGCACTGTGCAAGGCATTTTAATACAATTAGGTCTCTAAACCCTCACTACAAGAAGAGGAAGTGACAGCTGCCCCATTTACATAGGAGGAAACTATAGAGTGAAAGAGATTTAATGCCCTGCCAGTTAGGGATTATCAGAACTTAGATTTGAACCAAATCATCCTCTCTCCAAAAACTGAGGTCTCATTCCTGTTGGGTTGGAATACAAGTATACAAGTATTACTTACATGTTAAGAAGGGACCCATTGTAAGTTTACAGTCCTATAAGTTTTGACAAATGTGTACACATGTGTCATGATATTGTGTCCCTGGTATTGTCCAGAGATAGGATAAAGCTTATTTAATTTGTTTTTTTTGGTTTTAAGGTGCCATTACACATAATCTTTGAAACTTGGGTGGGATCTCATCAGATGGTGATGTAGGCATGGAAAGGGGAAGCAGAAGGAGCAAAGGGGTAAAAGTGTAGGGAGGTATTTGGGATGAAGAAGTCTATGTAGGGAAAAGCAAGACACAAGTCTGGAGCCATATCATGGGGGTCTCGATTCCAGAATCAGAGAAGATTCCGCACCAAGTACTTTCTTTGGGTTGTCTTAATTAACCCTTACAACTACCCTATGAGATCAGAGACACAGGAGTTGATGTAATTAATTCAGGATCTTCGAGCTTATAAGAAGTGTAGCAGATATTGAAACCCAGTCAGTCAACTTCAGAACCTATGGACTTCTTAACCACTGTGGTGTATTGCTATAGAGTCATAGACTTTACTGCATAATGCTGTTGGTTCCCCAGACGTAGAGGTTTTCAGACTCCTAAGTGATGGTTTCATTAAAAAATAATAGCCAAAATAGGCCTTTGTGGAGCTTAAGTAGCCATTTTGCCATTTTGACCCACATAGCCTACTCTAACCCGTATTAGGTTATCTTTGGGCCTCTAGGAATCACATTTCTGCCCTTCGAAAGCCCTGCTGTTCCTATTCACGGCAATCGTCTCTTAAAGGGTTACTGCCTTGAACCATGAGGGTCAGCCAATCTAAGATCTGTGGTAGGGCATTCAGAGCATGTGGCTAGGCTAGGTTCATGGCACACACTCCGGGGCCACGTGATTTTCACGCCCACTTTAGCCTTACTAAAAAGTGTAAAGCCCAGTCTAGAAGCGTAAGAGATGGGGCCTAGAACTCCTGCGTGCCCGTGAGAAGGAAGCCAGACTGTCTGCTTTTGCTAACTGGATTTGAACACCTTCCAGCAAAATTGGAGCTTTGCTGAAGATTTAACGCCCCCTGGAGGACAACGTTATAATATATAGCTCTAAGTACTACCGTAGAAAGATCTCTAACTGAATACACCATTTTTTCCTAAAGAATAGGAAAATCAAGCCTTTGCTAAGATAACCCTTTAAAAATTTAAATAAATTAATTGTGTTTATTTGAATGTGTGAGTCATGTGCATTTTAGAAAAGCTTCCACTAATCACATAATCCATTTCAGGTTACTCCTTCCAAAATAATCTTTATATTCTTACTAATAAGAGCTTATTTTGCTAATGGCCAATTGCATTAGTCAAGTGAAAATACTTGTAAAGAAAAATCTCTGAGGAGCATCATAGAATAGTCATATTCTTGTTCAGATGTGGCAAAATTAAATTCCCACATTTTGGTTTCTACTTCTCCACATACATAGAGTCAGAGGTGCATCCCAGGTTAATAATCATTCCTCTGCCTGAATTCTGTATATAGATTTTCACTTAACAGTGCCATAAATTGAGTGCCTTTTAAAAAAAAAAAAAAGTCTTTAATTTAAGTTAGGTTGCCACGAATTGGAGTATATAAGCCATTGGAGGAGAAAATTAATTCCTTTTTAAAAAAACCAAATAACAGGCTATAGGGCCCCTTCGTGGCCAGAACTGAAAGGAAATACTCTTCTTGTCAGTCATTGGACTGACAGTGCATGATGCCAATGGGTAGAAAGAGCTTACTAAGGCTCACGGCTGGCTGTACAGAAACAGGCCCAATATACAGGCTCCAGTTTTGATCCTACCGTCATCCTGAATTTTCCAAGTCTTCAGATATATTTATATAAATAGAGAGATACCTATTTTAGGACTGCAAGGCTTTTGAAATTAACTATCATCTCATTATTGGAGGCACATACCATCTTACCTTCTATTTTTTTTTCTTTTTGTTAGTGAGGAAGATTGGCCCTGAGCTAACATCTGTGCCCATCTTCCTCTATTTTATATATGGGAAGCCTGCCATAGAATGGTTTGATGAACGGTACGTAGGTCTGTGCCTGCGATCCAAACCAATGAACCCGGGACCACCAAAATGGAGCATGCGAACTTAACCACTGCACCAGCAGACCAGCCCTTCTAAATATTTTAAATAACAGCTTCTTTGCTCAACCATCTCCTTTGGCATCACTCTCCTAACTTCAACCATTTAAATTCAAAATACCTAGGAATTTTAGTCTAACTATTGACAATGTGCTTATCTCTGAAGCAAAGCAAATCATGAAACATGCCAACCCAACTGGAACATTTTTAAGAAAGTGATAAAAAGTTATGTAATGAAAGACTTAACTTTCAGGAACACTTTGGCAAATTGTAACGCACTGATATACAAATTCTGCCAGGTACACGTTGTTCTTTTTCATGTCCTTCTCTGATTACCCACAATAATTCTTGTTCTGACATCAACAAGCATAAGGCAGTCTGGGATGTGGGTAGGTTTTCCTTATTGGCTCGAGACTTTCAATTCATGCAGCAAGTTCTCTCATCTATCTGGCACAGTTAGAGAATGGAAAATTCTGCTTAATTAAATGTTCAGGTTGCTAGAGCTAGGCGAACTCCTGGACTGTCAGGGCTGGAAGAATCCTAGAGATGATCTCATCCACTGACTTTCCGGGTGTTGAAATGGAAATACTTGCAGGTTTGGGGATTAGCATTAATGTCTCCATAGTCTCTATTCAGCGTCCCTTACAGGACACCAGCTGCCTTTCCTGATAAACTGTTTCCGAATCTTCAAAGAAACAAACACAACAATATACACCACGAAAACCTCACTGGCTATGAGCAACAGTTTCTCTGAGGATTCAGAAGACACGTAAGGTTCCTATATTGTCACAGAGTTGTAGTAAAGAATATCTATGATTCTAAACAGCTTAGTTTTCCTTCAAAATACGGTGAGAGAATCCATTTCCCTTTCACAAATAGCCGCTGGATAATATGCTCAGTGCTCTGTGTTATCTGGCTTCCCAACGGAGAGATGGAGAAAATGATCCTGGTGCAATTTCCTGGGGAGGGAGAGTTGATTAGCATTTGTTTCCCTGAATAGCAACGTAAACCCTCAGTGATCAAGTGCAGCCCTGCTGGCAGGAGGGGAGTGATTGCCCTTACACAACATCCTCATCTATTCCAGAGCCCTTGTCAGCCTGGTTTCCCAAAGTGGTAACATTGATTCAACAAGTTGGCTGGGTCTGACCCAGAGAAAGCAAACCAGAGGCAAAGTCATTTACTATACATTTGTAAATATCTACCCCAACTCTGTCCCTGATCCAGATGGGTCAATTTAGGGAAAAGTTAGAACTGAGTTCCTCATCCCACATGTGCCCATACTCATTGTAGGGATGGCCCCAAATGCATCAACTGAATCTGTGGCTCGCATAGACCTAGCAGGGGGCACTCCTCAAAGTCCGAGACTTTTTCCTTGATGATGATGATGATGCCGCAAGATGGACATAGAGTCTCATGGTTTCATGGGTACATGACAATAAAAGGAAATCCACCTGTATTTATGGCTCTAACTTCTTCAATATTAAAAGAACCAGAGCTAGTGCGAGTGGCTTAAGAAGTGTGTGTGTGCATGTGTGTGTATGTGCGTGTGTATCCATGTGCACATTGGGGTAATATAGGGAAGTGCACCTTGGGGTAACCTGGGGAATTGGGTCCCGAGAGCATCAAGAAAAGGGATAGTGGGAACATGAGAACATGTTTGGTCTAAGGATGGCCCAGGTTTCGGGTTTCTGGGAAGATTATCAGATATATTTTCAAAGCTGTCCTCAAGTTCAATGAAAACATTTATCCTTGTCACTAATGGCAACTGAGTTGACCAAGTTTGTGAGCTATGCTCTTTTTTTGGATGATAAATGTTCTGCATTTTGCTCATTATTTTCAAAAAAAAAAAAAAAAGAATCAATGCAATTACTTTCTTTGTGGACGTATGGGCATCCAACTGACAAAAGGTTTCCAGATCTGACCGTCAAGAGCTAGGTCTGAAATAAATACCTTGTGGGTCTCTCTGGGGTTGGGAATAAAACTCTATTTTTTTCTTTTTATATTTCATTTATTTTTTTCTGCAGAGAAGAGTTTGAAAAATGGAAGGCAATCTGGCTGTTGGTCTAAAGATTAATAAGCCATCTGTTGAGCTAATGGCACTGATTATTGAATAGATTTGTGTGTGTGCATGAGGAAGAATGGCCCTGAGCGAACATCTGTTGCCAATCCTCCTCTTTTTGCTTGAAGAAGATTGTCACTGAGCTAG